CTGGTATTTCAGGAAAGAGAAAGAGACTTTATTGAAGAGATCTTTAATAAATAATAAATGATAATAAATAAGATAAAACACAAATAAATAAATAAAAAGGTCTTTGAGGACAATGTGAAGTGCTTGTAATGTGGAGAAAGATGATTGTTCTGGGTGTTAAATTTGGCATTTTTAATAACCAGAGCTACAGTCACACTGCAGCTAAAGCCCCAGGTAACTAAAAAATGGCAAAGGCAATGCTGTTTGATCAAATAGTTCTTGCTCTCACTGCATTTGAAAGGTACGGTACTATTCATGAGAGCTAGCATGGCACAGTGGTTTGAGCATTGGACTACAACTCTGGAAACTGGGGTTCAATTCCCTGTTTGGCCATGAAACCCACTGGATGACCTGAGGCAAGTCACATGCTCTCAACCTCAGGGGAAGGCAATGGCAAACCTCCTCTGAACAAATCTTGCCAAATAAACTCCACAACAGGTTCACCTTAGGGGTCCACAATAACAACAACAATACAGTGATAAGGCCTTTGGTTATTTTGGCCTCTGCTCAATTTACTTTATTTCTTACAGATAAGACACTCCTAGAAAATGTATTTCACCCATCAATTTTTCAGTTTACTGACTCCCAAATGGGACTGAATTTACACCCCATGTTGGAATACCAGCGTAGTGGTTTGAATGTTGAACTATGACTCTGGAGACCAGGGTTCAATTCCCAACTCAGCCATGGAAACCCACTGTGTGACCTTGAACGAGTCACACGCTCTCAGCCCCAGAAAATCCTGTGATAGGTTTGCCTATAGGTCGAAATGACCTAAAGATACACGACAACAACAAAACTTAGTTCTAACTGAGATTCACTAAAATGTTTTGATTGGTGCTAAATTTCATATGTTGGAAAGGCATTATACCCAGATCTTCAAAATCTTTAGAATTACTTTTTTGAACGACTGCCCAAAACTTATAAAGTAACCTTTGCAAAACTGTTCATTTCCACTGGTTGTTACATTGTTTTAAAAGCTATCCATTGCTCATTAAAGTTTTCTTAAAAGGCACCTTGTGTTACTTGTTACCATTTTGTTGCTTTTTAATTTAAAAGAGGGTCCAAAAACAGTCACAGAACTTGAAAAAACTGTCAAAATGCCTGCTAAGATAGCCTTGAAAGGTAACTAAAATTAACTAGAAAACATTGTTTCTCCAGTAAAGTATAGTGCGCCGTGCCAAACGCATTGTGAGCTTCCACAGATGGCAAGCTCCAGCTTTTTCAATGGGTGTGCACACACAAAGCGGCGCAAGTGGGAGTGTGCACCCATTGAAAAGAACAGGACTTAAGGTCCCACTTTTTTGCTATCTGCAGGTGGGGGGAGGCCAGAATAGATCCCACGCAGATAGCAAGGGCGCACTGTAATGTAGTTCCTGCTCATCATGTTACTATTGAAATGTATCATTACTTTCTTCTTACAAAAAAGAAGAAGAAAACCCTAGGTATTTCCAGACTTCAAGATTGCCATATTCCTCTGTATGACTTGGGAGACTATACAAGTTAATTGTTAAGGCCCAACGCTATGATTTTTTAACATTAGTGCCATCCCCACATC